CTTCTATATTTTTCAAGCAAGTAGGTTTCATGACCTTTGTTGTTTGGAGTGATTTTGCAATTTTATAATTAATAATTTCAGGTTACTTCATGTGGAACAAAGATATTTCAACTCATTATGTCCTCAAAGGTTTCCCTTTGTCCTCAAAGGTTTCCCTTTGTTGACATTGCAACGGGAAGGTGGATTCAGATGGCCAAAATGTAATTGAGTCAGAAGTTGTATCCAATTCTCAAACTCTCAAGAAGTTGTATCCAATTCTCAAACTCTCAAGTTTGTGTATGTTAATTGAACTTAATACAGAAAATACTTTTTGTAGTTGAAAAATTATGATAATAATGTTGGGCTCATGCGTAGCACGGGGTTGTCTTACTAGTATCTTTATAGATACTTGCAATACAACAAATAATTCAACTTTTATAGCTGTGTTCGTCCTCCTCCCCCTCATTTATATATAGTAGTAACTAGAAAGTAATACCCGTGTGATCCACAGGCTATCATAGGTATAGGCATTATCTTATATACTTGCTAAAATTCTACAATAAATTACAATAAATTACAAAAAAAAAAAAAAAAAAATTGCACATGACTCAACATTTCACCAGTTAGGATGAACACCATGAGTAATAAGATGCTCAAGAGACTAATGAACAACAACATTGTCTTTGGCATTTACAAGACCACCCACAGCTCATGCTGATGGAAGAATATTTCCGGGACTTGAAATCATGAAAAAGCCCAAAAAGTTGTAAGAGAGAAACTATATTTGAAATCTCAAATATAACAAGCCTAATGGTGTACCATGCATGATTAACGAATAGCAATTGATACTCATAAAGTTGCATGTAAGCGCAGTTTCCCGAGTACATCAGTCGCCATGTTTATACAAGTTGGAAAGAGAAGCAATGAATGATCAATGATATAACTATACCAAATTTAAGAGAGCGCTTTTTGAATGACTTCCTCATAAACTATATTTTAGGTTGAATGATCATCTTTATCCTACAAATGAAAAAGTAGCTTCAACAATGGTAGATTGATGTATGCATCAAATTATACCTATATATGCACATACATCCTTCAAGGGGGCCAAGAACCAAGAATATATTATCTATCCAGGCCTGCAAAGATTAAGAAATTCTTGAAAAAAGTACAAAGATTTTATTACTAAATGCAAGCATAATAGAGTGACACTGGGGCAATATTTGTAAGGTTTAACTAATATATTCCAGTTTAATTAGTGATGAGTCTCTAAGCTACTTCAACAAAATAAAGAAATGTAAACCATATTTAAAAATCAAATAAATCCTTTGACCCAAGTTAATTGAAATCAACAATGTCAAGCCGCGAACTTGAGCCTGGACGTAACACGACACTCGGTGGCTGACTACATGTGACCGAGCGAACCAACTGGCTGGCTGAATCAACATGTGATATCATAACATACTAAATGCAGAAGATAAACTAACACATGCTGATATACTGAAAGTCTGAATCATATAAATCAAAGTACGGAAATACTGATACAATTTCTGAAACGTATTTGTAGCAAATATAGCTTAACATGAAAAACTTGTGACTCTGTCTAACTGTTCTAGTCTATGAAGCCTCTAATTTGTACTGAAAACACTGACTGTCTGAAAATACTGAAGATTGTAGTAATGATAATGCCCCGAAAGAACTGGAGATCACCAAATAGCTGGTACAAGAATCCTAGCGTTCTGAATCATCAACCTGTAAATCATTACCTGCATCGTGAGATGCAGGCCCCGGGCAAAAGGGACGTCAGTGCATTTGGATTGCACTGGTATGTAAAACAATTGAAAGAAGGAATTGTAAATGCTGAAACTGAAACTATGCTGATAACTGAGAATTGATAATTGATAACTGAAATGATAACTATTGAAACTGAAACTGAAACTGAAACGATAACTATTGAAACTGAAACTGAAACTGAAACTGAAATGATAACTGATAACTGAACTGATAACTGATAACTGACTAAACAAAGGAAGTAAGAATATGAATACTCCCTCTTCTGAATGATGAACAAGCGCGCGCGCGCGGGCCTCGGGCCCAAGTATACGTATACATAACTGCGACTTCAGGTCCAAAATGCATAAAGCATAAACTGCCGCCTCAGGCCCAAAGATGCATAAAGCATAAACTGCGGCCTCTGGCCCAAATACAGGTGTTCAAGATTCAGGAACTGAGAATCAAATTGCAATACATGATAATGAAATACTGAATCACACTGAGTTACATGATACTGGAATACTAGATCACACTAATTTACATAAAACTGGAATACTGGATCACACTGAGTTACATAATACTTGAATACTGAATCGGACTAGACTGAGACATGTATTCTTGAATTGATTATGAACACTGAAACTTCAACTGTTTATGGCATACTGAGTAATCCATACTAAGACTCGGGGGAATCTAATCCAAGTCTATATTGGATACGCACTGAGTTCACAACGTTCAGAATGAATGTGGTGAACGAGTTATGAAGCTAGAGAATAGAAGTTCTACAACTATTCAAGGAACTAGGCTAAACTATATTTCTGAGACAATTAGTAATATCATAAAAGAAACGTAGTGTATGGAGGATCATTAAAATTCCCAAACATAGAGAGTTAGCCTCACATACCTTAACTTCCTGTCCTTGAGCGTAATACAACATTCGCCAACCCTTTCTACTTTAATCCATATCAATACAAGTCAAAGGGATTCTATATTAGCAACAATACTCATGTTTTGGTCACTTAGGCATTTTATCAAACTCTTGGTGGCATAAAGCTTCATAGCCCTTATTAGTGGTGTCTCTACACCCAATAACCCATTCTCTTGTTCCTAGATAAATTCTAAAGTCTCAACTGGTTATAATCAACATTATTCTTTATCACTCATAAGGTAATCAACACCCATAACCAATAATAACCAATCAACAATCCAAACCTATCACCGTTCATGCTTTTCTATCAAACCCATCAACTTATATCTCATGAAATAGAGTCTATAATCATTAATTCAATGATAGAATCAATTAGAGGGTGAAGATATTACCTTTTTGACGTTCAATCTTCTTGAATTCGAATTTTAGGGTTTTTTCTCTCAACAATGATGTCCCAATCGAATAGCTAATGATATGGAGGCTTTACCCATATTAATAAGATGTTGGGAAATTGAAATTAACTTAGAATCACCATTAGAATTTACCTTGGTTGGTGGAGCGACCCTTAAGGAGTTAGGTTTTTGAGAGTTTTCCTTTGTAGAGCAAGTTTTTATGTTTTGGGGCTGTGGGGGACGAAATAGGGCTAAATAAATGACTTCCCAAGTTGGCCACCGCGTCCCAGTAGGCGTGACCGCGGTAAATAGCTGGGACACTACCTCACGACCGTGGTCGCGGTAAAACGCGGCCGAACGTGGTGATTACACACCATTCTGTAAAACGGGCATAATATTTTGCACAGAGCTCCGTTTGGGCTGCACAATATATCGTTGGAAAGCTATTTCAAAGTCCTACAACTTTTAAGCTTCGAGTTTTCCCAAATTCCTTACAGATTTTCACTAACACCTGCTGGAACACGGACCTTCTGCAAACTTAGTCGATTTTGTCAAATCTTATGCACCTCACTTTTCATCTTGATTTTGAAACAACTATTTTCACCCATAATCATCCCTATAGGACTTTATATGTCCAAAATATAACCTTACTACTCCTTTAACTCATTCATACCTAATCCGAATGTGCAGGGTGTTACAAACAAAAACTGTCACCTGCTGGATAGCCTCTGATCTATAAGAAATTCATAATGATTCATATAAAGGTATACAAATATTTTATCTAAAATGTAGACTATTTTCCATTTTCCCTTGGAAATATCTTAGTGAAAGAGTTAAACAAAATCGAAAAGTTTTGTAGAACTTTAAGTGGTTATTGTAATAGACACAATAATATAACAATTAGAATTTTTATTAGATGCAGAAAGAATTTTTATTAGATGCAGAAGCTATGAACTGTGTGACTTATAGCCTATCTGGTCAAGCTTCAAAAATCAGCTTATTTTGAGAGTATTTTTTTTTCAAAAATGATTTTTTCAAAAGTACTTTTGGTAAGAAGTAGTTTGGGTTTAGCTAATTTATTTGAAAAGTACTTCTGAACAGCAATTAGTGTTTGATCAAGCTTTTAAAAACTGTTTCTAATATCCTGTTTTGCCAAGCTTCTCCAATCCTAAAAGGACTTTTTTGAAAACAGTATGTGTTTGGCTAATTTATTTGAAAAGCACTTCTGAGCAGCAATTAGTGTTTGGCCAAGCTTTTAAAAACTGCTTCTAATAGCCTGTTTGGCCAAGCTTCTCCAGTCCTAACGGCACTTTTTTTCTTTCAAAAAAGGTATTTTTTTCCCAAAGTTGAAGTGTTGCCAAGCTTTTAAAAGAAAATAAAAACATTTCTAAAAAATTAGCTGATTTTTGCAGCTTGGCCAAACAGGCTATAAGTGTATTTTTCTCAAAAGTGCGTTAAAAAAGTGCTTTTGGAGAGAAACTACTTTTTTCTGCTTCTCCAAAACTGCTTTTGTTTCTACTCAAAAGTACTTTTTCCCTCTAAAATTCAGGCCAAACACTTCAACTTTGGAAAAAGTCACTTTTTTTAAGTTTGGCTGAACGGGCTATTATTCTCTATAGTTGGACTCAATGATATTCAATATTAATTGCAAAACAGTTGGAGAGCAACTGTTATACCATGTTCACTTTAACATGAAGCACATTATAAGTATGAGTACAATGAAAACTTTCACTCTGATGGTGAATTCAATTTCTTTTGATAAATTATTTTATATCTTGTAGTTGTATAATTTTAAAAATTATTTTCACTCCACTCATATTCTGTATCGCTTACTCCTATAATATATAAATATCATATCCGGTGTTTACTATTTGTGATTATCAATGAAGCTTGAGTTCCATTAACTCTGTTCAACCAAATAGGGAAAATGACTTGGCAAGTAATATCTTTAAGTAAAATATGTTCTAACAGAATACTTTGCACACATACACATATTGCCGCTCGCTCGTGCAATATTGATAGGGGTATGTGTGCGTGCGCATATAGGAATATAACCCAATTAAAAGCTATACAAAACCCACAATATATGCCTAATATTAGTCCACACCTAATTAATGTTCACCTATCAAGTTAGCATCACCTTGGCAATAGTCGTTCGATGCCATTTTCATCAATTGCCTCCCCCTGCCCCTTTCTCTTTTTTCCATTACGACCAGTCTTTATTCTGCTGCTCTAGAATCTCCCTCGAGTTCATACTTTCTCTCCCTGTAAGCATGCAAACAATTTGTCTCATATCTTGATAAATAAAAAAATATATATAAAAGAAACAAATCTAAAGTGAGTAAAAATTTGTTAAAACAAAGCTGAGAATATAAAATGGAAAACAATGAAATCACATAGAGGAAAAACACGGACAAATCTCACAGAAGCTTACCATTCAACAAAATGGGGATTCAAAGTGCAACAAGTGGTAGAAATCAAGTTGTATCAGTGTCCATTGATAAAAAGCTTGAAAGATTGCAGAGAAGTGGTCAACCGACTTGCTGAAGCTATCTTTCTTTCATTGGAGAATTTTATCAAATACATTAGAATTTCATCAAACATATTAGTTAAAGCTCTTCCCTTGTTAGTTTATTTATCTTCCAATGGCAATTTCCTGTAGCCGATGTCGGAGCAGTTAGGTTACTGAACTTAAAGAGGAATTTTAAAAAATAACCACAGAAAGAATCCATAAAGGAAACATGGCGAAAGAGGGAAAATTTATTATCAGAATCAGACACACTTAACTGAAATCAGAGGCAAAATAAAGATTGTAAATCACATAATCAAGATTCTAAATCAATCATCTCCAAATAAAATAGAATCAAATGTTCATATGCTCATAAAAAAAAGCACTTAGCACAACAAACTAAGCAGAACTTCCTGATCCACATACAAAACGGAAAAATAGAGAAATTTTGAAATGAATCTAGAAGCCAAAGCCAAACACAGCTGGAGCAGAAAAGATAAAACAGAGAATGAATGATTAAAAGAGAAAATAGTTTTATAGCTGAAAATTTTGAGTAGGAGGAGACCAAATTTTTCATTGAAGACATCTAGTGGAATCCCAATATAATCCAACCTTCCAGTTCTTTATCTTGGAAAACTCTAGATGAACTGATGAAGATATCAGTGCTGGACACGCAGAGTACACGTGTTTCTATAGCAATTGAGTTCAAAAGAGAGCAGGTATATTTGTCAATTTAAAAGTTTATACACGTATAATGCAGAATGTTCAATTTGAACCATCGTGACGGCACCTAGTCTCTACGACTAGGTAAGCCTAAATTGCGGAAAAAGAAACCAAAATTTTTTGCGGAAGTAAACAACTTAAAACAGAAATAAGAAAATAAACAGTGGTTAAATGTGCCGCTCGGCATACACCATATTAAATTCTCAAACCAATACATTAATCCAAGACCCGGAAACCTATGAATCACAAGCAAAGAAGTACTACATAGCTCCAACTCCAGAATGTCTAATAAAAACTGAAATACAGAAGGACTAATACTAAACAACAGGAATAGAAAGAGATTCCTCGGTCTGCGGACGCGACAGATATACCTCGAAGCGCTATAGCAGTCGCCTCGCTTCAGGGGTGGTAGGACTGAGTCGAAGTACCTGGATCTGCACATGAAAAACATGCGCAAGAAGGGCATGAGTACACCACAGCGGTACTCAGTAAGTGCCGAGTCTAATCTCGGTTGGGTAGTGACAAGGAAGTTCAGGGCCCTACTAAGGTTAAATAAGATATATGGTTTAACAGAATGAATTAAACAGTGTAATAAGTAATATAAGATATGAAGGTCAGCAACAACTATTACAGAGGCAAGTAAAAACACAGAAAAGAGAATACAACTCAGCTCCAAGATAACAACCGGGGATCTCCCAGGATACCGTCATGTAGTCCCCAAATACAAATACCATATCCAGTGGAATCACCCGGGTGCAGTCCCGTAGTCCAACTCATAAATGTTCAGGGGGATTTCCCGGAGTGCAATTCCGTAGTCCCAAAGTAAACGTACAGGGGAGCTCCCGGGATACCGTCCCGTAGTCCCAAAGTAAGCATGCAGGGAAGCTCCCGAGATACCGTTCCGTAGTCCCAAAGTAAAACACACAGCACCAACACAAGAATACTCAACAAAAGCTAGATTTCGTGCTAAGTAAACAGATAAGTCTAGCCTAACATGCTTCAAGTAATGCAACTAAGGCAAATTGAGCAAATGGGCAATTAAGTCTACTAAACATACTTTTCTAAACTAACAACAGGCTAAATACACAAGTAAAATGAAGCAGGAGAAGGAACTCCATTGAAATACTTAAAGAAAACCGGATTTTCAACAATTAGCTCAAGTACGCACTCGTCACCTCACGTACGAGGCATTTCAATTACCACAATATCAATCCTAAGGGGAAAGGTCCCCCACACAAGGTTAGACAAGCCACTTACCTCGAACAAGTGCAAGTCAACCCGAAACCACGCCTTTGCCACGAGTATCCGACTCCAAATGGCCCAAATCAATTCAATTCAATTTCATAATGTAAATAATACTTCAAATAACTGATTCTACGATTAAATTCTAAGCTAATACGCGAAATTGTGTAAAATGACCAAAATGTCCCTCGGGCCCAGGTCTCAGAATCGGGTAAAAATTATATATTCCGGACACTCATTCACTCACGAGTCTAACCATACTAGTGGGGTTACCCCGGGCAAAGCCCGGGCCCAACGTGAACAATGTTATATTTTGTTATCTTGTCAAACATTGAGTGGATATGTTTTTCATTTTGGGTCTTGATAGTAATTTTTTTAAAGAGTAACTGTGTTAGTACTAAAGACAATTCACCTTGGTTGATGTCCAGTTATGAAAGACACGATATATGGACATACTTTTGGGTTTCGTTACAGTGGCAAGGTACAATCAGAGATCAGTCACTAAACTTGCAATTGAAGTATAGTAAAAAAATAACAGTTCTTAATATATATGTAATTACAATCACGTAGTCGAAAAAAAACTTTTTATCGTTGGCAAATATATCTTCCAGAATGGGTCTACATATAACTAAGCGCATAATTAACACCTTCACTATTTGGGCATATGCAACCTTGTGATAGTTCTGCATGTGACAAAGATTGAATTTCGTCAACTTCAACAGTTAGAAGGTGACCAGTATTCTCCAAACAATCCTCGCTCGCTGTAATTTCAGTTGAAGGTGAAGTGTCCTCAGATTCCTCGACAATGGCAATATGAGATGAGAGGGCTCTAGTGCTGAACTTTTCACTACCAAACTATCATTTGATACTATTCGCATCGCGGAAACTCTTGACTGCAGATTTAGCTGTAAATCTCATCACGGGAGCTATTGTCCCTACAGATCATTTCAACTGAGTGGGGAAAACTGTAAAATAGTAAAATATCTGAGAAAACCAGGAATCTGAAGCCTACTTAAAAATGCAATGTTTTAGGTTTAATGAAGCAATGTACAAGAGATTGAACATAGAAGATGCAGTTTTCAGTCACTACGATAGATATTCAAAAAATACCAACATACATTATAATCATATAATAAGCCATTAGGAAATTTCTATCCACTTTCATTTATCTGAAGTCCTCCTATTGCTAGAATTGCTTTATGAGAATTTTTGCAAGATATTCTTTTTGCCTAATTTATTTTGTTATCATTGAAATAAGCTTTTACAAGATCATTATTGTACAAAATTACTTTTGTAACTGCATGAAATTTGACAAAATGATCTTGGTTGGTGAATCGGGTTATCTAAAGAAGATTACCTGCCACTTGGAACTTTAAATGGTGTAGGCACACTCTTCCTGCATCACTGATAAAGAACAATGTCACAAAGGGTCGAAATTTCTATTTTGAATTTAGTAGTTTGAGGAGTTCTGTCTAAACAGGTGTTACTAAATATGTTCTTAGCACTTCAAAAAAAGTTAACATTTGAGAAGCTAATAGTTGGTGTAAAAACCGAAAACAGGTATTTGAATTTAGATGATATTGTCATCTTCTTTGCTAAATAAAAGCGTTTATATCAAGCTTTGGCCTAACGTATTGAAGTTACAAGCAATGCAATAAGCTATCTCACTAAGGACAATAATGTTTTGGTGCCCAATTCAAGAACATATGAGGCAGAGGAAAAATTTAAGAGTAGCACCAAGTAACCAACAGAGAATAAAATCCAAGTAGAAAAGTAGAAAAAAATTACTACATTGCAGTCATATCTGGTGAAATCAAATCACAAATCACAATGAAATTCTAGAAATCAATTTCAAGGCAAATTTCTATAGATGGAAAATAAACAAATAAAAAAAGGAAACATAGCTAATTTTAAAAAAAAAATTACTTGAGGCATTTCAACTCCATCGGCGCTAGCAAATCCATCCCACTCATTGCCCGATGATCCATTATAACCTGTATTAAAACCATATCACAGGAGGATGAACAGGCAGAAGCTTTGTTGATAGAATGAAATATATACCATCAAAAGGTACCCTATGCAACTGACCAAGTAAAAGACCTTCTTGACCTTCAATCCTAATGCTACCTAGATATTTCAGAATTGCCTAGCAGCTTATCCATACTAACAACTGTATATCATGTAATTTAGCTGAATGTCTAATGACGAATCAAAATAATGGGCAACACAACATGCTGTTAAGCATTTTATCAATTGATAAACAACACTCTCAATACAGTCTGGTGTTTGTTTGTAACGACCCGACCGGTCGTTTTGAGCCCTAGCGCGTCGTTCAGTAGTCTGAGGCCATGAGCAGCTTCATTTCAGGTATTATGACTTGTACGCATGGTCGGAATTAAATTCCGGAAAGTTCGGAGTTAATTTGGAAAGAGAATTTTCATTTCGGAAGCTTAAAGTTGAAAGAATTAACTAAGATTGGATTTTTGAGTAAACGACCTCGGAATCGGGATCTAAAGGTTCCAGCAGGTTCGTATGATGATTTCGAACTTGGGCGTATGCCCGGTTCGGGTTTTGGATAACCCGAGAGTGTTCTGGCGCCTATTGTAGAAGTTAGCATTTTTGAAAAAACTTCATAAGTTTGGCTTGAAGTGCATTTCAGTGTTATCGATGTCCGTTTGGGATTCCGAGTCTGTGAATAGCTCCGTATGGTGATTCTAAAGTTGGGAGCGCGATCGGAAGTGAATTCGGAGGTCCGTAGGTCATTTTGGAGTCATTTGGCTAAAGATAGAAATTTGAAGGTTTTTGAGAAGTTTGACCGGAAGTGGACTTTTTGATATCGGGGTCGGAATCCGATTCCGGAAGTTGCGTAGGTCTGTAATGTCGAATATGACTTGTGTGCATAATTTGAAGTCAATCGGACGTGATTTGATAGGTTTAAACATCGAAAGTAGAAGTTGGAAAGTTCAAAGTTCATAAAGCTTGAATCGGGGTGTAATTCATGGTTTTAGCGTTGTTTGATATGATTTGAGGCCTCGAGCAAGTCCGTAATGTATTTTGGGGTTGGTTGGAAGGTTTGGTTGAGGTCCCGGGGGCCTCGGGTGGATTCCGGGTGGTTAACGGATCGAATTTGGGGTAAAAGCTGCTGCTGTTTTGCTGGTATCTGGTTTCCTTCTTCGCGAACGCGAAGGGAGTCCCGCGTTCGCGAAGAGGAAGATGGAAGGCTGCTGGTTTAAGCCTTCGCGAACGCGAAGGAGTCGAGCTGGTTACTACGCGAACGCGAGGAGGAGATCGCGAACGCGTAGAAGGAAAAGTTGGGCCTGAGTCAGTGGTCTACGCGAACACGAGGCCTAGAACGCGAACGCGTAGGGTTCGGGGAGCTGGCCTTCACGAACGGGGCTTTGGGTCGCGAACGCGATGAAGAGTTTTTGGGGCTGAAGCAGGTTGTGCTTCGCGAACGCGAGGGCTTTTCCGCATTCGCGAAGAAGGGCAGTGCTGGCAGTGACTTGTTTTAAGACGGGATTTGGCCCATTTCTTTCATTTTTCTCTTGGCTTGGGCGATTCTTGGAGGATTTCAATAGGGGGTTTCGTCACTCAATGGCAAGTTAAGTTATCCCCACTTATTAGAAGTTAAATACATCGATTATATATGGATTTTAACATGGAAATGAGTGGAAATTTGGGGTTTTGAGGAAGACCTAGAAACTTGATATTTTTGAATTTTGACCATGATTTTGGATATGAAATTGAGAGAAAATTATATATTTGAGTTCGTGAGTTTACGGGTAAAGTTTATCTTCAAAAACTTTCGGAACCCGGGCATGTGGGCCCAAGGGCATTTTTGTCAACTTTTCGATCGGGGTTGGGAATTGCTATAAATTGGATTGTAATGAGTAATTAAGTATATATTAATGGATTTGTATAATCATTGGCCAGTTTTGGAGCGTTGTGTGTCGATTCGAGTCTTCGGAAGGGCGTGGAATGTCGGTTATGGATCTTCGGAGCGAGGTGAGTCTCCTTTCTAACCTTGTAAGAGGGAATTGTCCCCATTGGTAAAATAATTGGTTATGTGCTCCTATTTGTGGGGGCTACGTGCGCACGAGGTGACGAGAGTCCGTGCGTAGCTACTATTATGCTATTGTCCGGGTAGTTAGGACCCAAAGGCATGCTATACTTGGATCATTTACGAACCTATTGATAGCTTGAATTGCTTAAATCACATCGAATTAGTAAACGAATTTCTAAATAGATAAAACTTNGGGTCTCACGAGTCATGAGCAAGTCTAGTAGAGTCTCGCGGATCGGTACGGAGACGTCTGTACTTATCCTCGGGAGGTTGCAGGGACTGTAAGGAGTACTTCCCTTCTTGATTCCTTATCGTGCGATTCGATTTCATGAGAGCTTATGCCTTTGTTTCTTTCCACTCAATCTTATGCGACGCGAAGCGCTTGATGTAAATCGAAAATTGAAGAACCGTAATGGCTACTGCAGATGTGATTACGGGGTTTTTCTCCCGGTATAGCTGATCAGATTATTGTCGTCGCCTGATGGAGTGATATTTTATTGTTTCAACCCAGTAGCGGTAATTTCGAGGGCTTTGAGGCTAGGCACAAGTTGCCGCGATGCTTATGAATGACTATTCTGCAGTAGTGATATGATGGTATGATGTTGCCCACGTGTCGAGGCAAGAAATGACTTGAAGGGAGGTCTACTCAGTGCATAATCAAGAGATTCAGTATGTTATTCCCGGCAGGGGGAAATGTAACCGAGCTAAGGAGGGTCAGATGTGGACTGGTGGAAATAATGAGGCTTGGTAATTGCAAGTGTGGTGGAATATTCCTTCTATATTGGGGTGCAGTCGTCCTAATTGGACGTATAAAGTTTGTCGGTGTTATGATTTTCTACAATTCGCCTTTGAGGCAGGGTATTGTGAAATAGTATCAGAGATTCAACTATCAGATATCGCTGGATGCGGTGGTTCAGGATTGAATCAGTATTTCTATTGTTGACGGTTCGAGAAGGATGACCTTCGGGAAGGGTTGGAGTTAGTAGCCAATTGAGGATTCAAGTTCTCTGAAGATTAAATTTTATTAAGGCAACAACTGAGCAGCGAAGGATGAGAAGGACATGTGGGAAGAGTCCGGCGGAGTTTTAAATTGCTAAAAGGCCAGGTATATGAAGCAAAGGTGAAGTAGTCGATTAAGGGGATGAGTTCCGCCAAAGTGGGAGAGTGGCGGAGATGCATATGGGCTTGTAGTGGACGGACCACGTACCTTAAGGAGAGTTTGGAGTGATTTGATAATATCAGTGATTGGCAATTGGGGTCTACGGATTCAATTTGAAGTAGGGGTTCTTGTGCGGCTGGAGATTTAATCTAACGGAAGGAGCCGCTTAAATGAAGAAGGATGCAGCATGGCTTTGAATTGGAAGGATGTTGCCGCACATTTAATGATGTCCAAGGGGTAAATGGACCTGCGCAGCTGGAGAGTGAGCTCAGACTCGGGATGGGTTACTGATGTTGAAGTGATTGTACCCCGTGCAGCGGCGTTGGAAGATGCCAGGGAGAGCTTTTATAGGTTGGTTACCCAAGTGAGCAGGTTAGCGGTCGCGTGGTTGGCAAGGCTTCTGCGAAGAATTCTATCGGCTATATAGCAAAGGGATCGGTTGTGCAAATATGATTGATGAGTCAGAATATAAGAAGGGGTTTTACAAAAAGGTTTCGAGAACCTTGGCGGTTGATTGTGCAAGGTTATGTCAATAAGAGATAAAGAGGACGGGTGAGTTCCTGGTTTGTGAACTAATGGCTTCATGCTAAGTGGGAGAGTCCCACCACTTATGATTGGGTTGCATGGTTAACTACTTGCGAAATTTTTGCCTATTAGCATATCGATGGGCTATTTCAGCTACGGAAAGGACCATAAGTGGTAATTTAAGCAAAGGAAGTATTAAAGGTGGGCTATCGTTGGCCCTATTGGCCCATGTTCAGGCTTGGGGTAAGATTCAGGATTTTGCTTTGTATAGATGCGGGCTCCAAGGGAAGTGATTCGGCGGGTTCTTCGCCAAGGGGGTATTCATGTGATGGAAGACTCATGGAGTTGATTATATTCGGGGCCAAGTCAGAGCGGGTGGCTCTTAGCAACGGCCCTAGTGGATTCAAAGAGGTCAAGTGTGGTGCCTAATGGTTTTGAGCCTATAGGTACGGTTAAGAACCAAGCTTGGTGGCAGTCTATGAGAAGAGGCACAGAATGTTCTATGATGTTTTGACTTGCGATGTGGCAATTGGGAGGTACGAAATGGTTCATGGGATTTGAGACAGCATGGTCTCGTGACTCAAGGCCACTCGAGATGAGTGCAAATGGAGTATGTTATGTGTTGGATGGAGTTAGTATTATCTCTAAGGCAATCCA